TATTCCTTATATCAATTGTAGTGATGATTTCACTTTTCGAGAATTATGAATGTCTGTGATAGCAAAACAAAGATTTTAAATGTCATATTCAACGACCCTGAAAAATATGGCCCAAACAAAAAAAATATTTTTAGTGGGTTTTTAAATCTTTGGTTAATCTTTTTAGCATTTCTGGTTTATTTTTTCTTAAATATTTTATTAGTTTTTGTAGTAATGTATGTTTTTCATGTTTGGTAGGGAGAAAATGGGTCGATTTGTTAATTGACATTAATACCATCCATTCTCGGACTTCAAAAATCGGAGCAAAATGGTGCTTCAATGTTGCTAGCAGACGGTCAACCTACGCCTTTGGAGCGCAACACCATTTGGTGAAACAGAGTTGAAGGGACGTGTTAGCAATGAAGGCATCGATTGTGTTCTCCAACAGACTTGGAGTCCCGGTTTGGTTTTTTAACTTACGTTGGAAAATCGTTTCAATGAGAGTCCATTCATTGGATTGACTATTGTGTTTTGAGGCTTGAAGCAGAAGAAACAAGATCTTATATAACTCTTTTCTTGCAATGTTTTCCGGTGAGATTACTTCTACTTGAAAACCATGATATTCTTTTTTAATGTGAGTCCGTACTTTATATGTCACACTAAAGAGCAAGAATTTGAATTTCGGTGGTAGCAAAACGAAAAAAATAAATGTCAATATTCAACAATCAGGACCGATCTGGAAAATATGGGGCCCAAGCAAAAAAATAAAATTTGAACTGTTTTTTTAAATAAAATTTAAAATTTGAAACCAGTCTTATAATTTTTGAAAAATGAAACCTATTTTGCAATAAAATATCTTTTTGGAACCCTAATTTTATTATTAATTGACTCAAAAAATTGGGGACTCTAAACCAATGTTTCAGTTAGATGGGCTCAGAACGGCTTTGTCAACAATGACATTAATGTAGAGGATTTATGTTGTACAATACAAGTACACAAATCAAAAACTCTAGAAATACTAACAAGAAACATTTTTTGTGACCATTGTGAAATACAATTTGCTAATCACCATCATCAATGTTTGATATTATTTGTAAATAAAATTAGTTTTAACAAGGATATAACTTATCACTTAAATTATTTTAATAAAACAAGAGCTTGTCTATCTATTTGTACTAATATCATTGTCATGTCATAACCAAACTTCAAAATATATGAATGCGTTTGTAAGTTTGTAGATGAGAAAACAAATTGATTTTTAATAGTACCTCTGATCTCTCTTATCCCAAACTTCTTTTTTTTTGCATACAATTGCGAAAATATTTACTGCAGTTTCGTAAAAAGATAATTATCGAATAACGGGTCTTAATCTAGTAGACAACAAACTATCAAAAGCTTTTCGAAAACACAGTTTGATTGTCAAATCAATAGACAATGGTGAATGGTTGGAAAAATCAAGTTGTTAAGTTCTAAGAGACTTATGTTCAGTCAGCTTTTTAGAGTGAAACAGACATACATTGGTGTGATTATCTAAGCCGAATTGCTTATGCGTAAATTAAAGTTCTTAAAACGAAGAAACCAAGGTTGTGAAGTTGCAATTGATACCATATCAAGACCAGAGGATTAGATATCGCACATGGCTGAAGCAAATTTCTCGTATAACTCTTGCCTTTAACATTTGTTCCCTTAGAACAGCATTGCAAGGTTCCTACAGAAGTTTTTAACAATAATATTAAAAAAAAAAAAAAAATAGATGAGAGAGATGAGAATCTATTTTTTAATGAAATTTTTGAGAACTCATAGAGAGACTGTTTTTACACATGTCAACATATGCTTGGCTTTTTAAAAAATTATAATTTAAATTTTAAATAAACAATTACATTAAATTATATATTTGAAAATGATATAAATGAGAGACTTTGAGAGTCGGTGTCATGCAATGCATACTCAATTCTTTTTCATCGAAGAGAATAAGGTCGTGCTTAGAGAATAATCAAAGAAAGTAAATTCGTATTTTACAATAAAATCGAATAGAATAAGGTTAAAGAAAAAGATTGTTACTGGTTTAATCTCTTTCGGCATTGTGTTTACGTATAACTAAAAAATGGATCGCACATCAATCCTAAATTACTCAGGATTCTACACAAGCACCAAAACCAATACAAAGAGAGAAACTTTAGCAATTGTTTAAAGCTCTAGCAATAAGGCTACACAATAGCCGCTTCTAACTTAAAGCTACACAAATCTGCCCAAATATCAACAACCATTGACCAAAGAATCTGCCCAACTAGCAAAATCTAAATAGCCAAAGCTCAAAATAAAAAAAACATTCCCATCAAACGCAACTTTCTTCAAAGCCCGTATCATCCACAGAATACAAAGTTAGAACCTAGGACGTTATCGTAACGATTGATTGAAGTCAAGAAAAAACGAATTCCTAAAAAACAGCTTCATGTTTGTTCATCGTCAAAACTTAAACCAACACGAACCCTTAGTAGAAACAAAATCGACCCACAAGTTCATAGCTACACAAAATTCAGTTTTTCCAGCGACCCACAAGTTCGAATCCAAAATTACCTTAAGAGAACACACGAACACGAACACACTTCAACCCAGATTTCTTCGAGCTTAGAGTGTAAAAATGAGAAAGATGAAAGATATATAGAGAGCAATCGAACCCTTTCTTATCGCTTCTCACAATCGATGAAAAAGAGATTGAATAAGAAGGAGAAGAAGAAGAAGAAGAAGAGAGCGTTCGCATGCGTTTGTCGTCGGCGACTCGCTCGTGAACGACAGTTACAAATCAAGTCGAAGTCGGAACTAGGGTTTTTAATTTCAATTTGATTCTGGTTAACTAGGTGCATACCGTAACTGAGAACCGAAACTATAAGAACATGAACCGATCCGGTTCTTTGGTTTTATCCGAATTTGAATCGGAAAAAAAAAACAGATTTAGGATCGGTTCGGGTCGGTTTGGCTTGGTTTGGACTTTGGATAATTTACCCAAACCTTGTTGATCTTTTTGGACTTATTTTCGCTAAGTCGATATCAATTTCACCAAATTTAGTTTATTTATGAAAGAAGAATTCGACTCTTTCTTTTTATTTTTGGTTCCTCGTAAAACAAATGTTAAAATGGATAATTTGACACAAAAATTTTATACCATATTATATCACATATGTAAATAATATTTATCTGATAAAAAAAAAATTAGTTTATTGAAATGCTCTTCTTCATAGGAAAAAGTGTAAGAGAGAATATTAATCGAACATACAAACTATTAATTGTGTTTGTCGTTGTTGTTGTGTTGTGAATTTTAGTGATTTGAAACAATACGTCCAATTGGTTTCCATCTTTTCTTTTTTGGCCTTTATAGGTTTTGCAATTTAATTAAACTTTTGCATGTTGTATTGTATGTACTAGATCTGGATTTTAGAGTTGATTTTCATATGATAATAAATGAATGCGTTATTTCTTTTAACTAATAGTGAAACATACGAAAGAGAGTATATAGTGTTGAAGTTGTCTTTCGTCTTTGAAATTGAAATCTAGAAATTGTGCAATACCGATAAACGAAATAGAAGATAACTTAGAGCAACTCAATCTAATTTATCTTGTAATTAGAGCAACTCAACTCAATTCGTTTAAATTTTCGTGAACCAGTATCTACACTAATAAAATAAAAAATTTAAAGCTTTTGGGAGTGTCCATGTTAACTTATTTGAATTTTTTTTCGAACTGCCACACCAGTCAAAGTCAAACACATCATATAATTTAGCATAGGTTAACAAGTTGTCACATCAACATAATTAAATCGCAGGCTTATCATTTCATTTTAAGTTCTTTCTTCGTTTCTCTTCCAAATCTATTTAATACCATCAATCACCTCTTCATATTCTAAATCTACAAATACAATCAATCACATCATAAACATATTTGCTCAGATCCGTTCAAAATATTATTTAGATCTCTAGTAATATTTTCTCAAATATTTAAAAAATATCTAGGAAGTGGAAGGTTTCCGATGAGTCAAAACCAGAGTGGAGGATCCCCTTAGCTTAATCTGGTTATTGACCAAAAGTAGCCAATGGTATAATACCCTCCCTGGCTCCCTTTCTATCCCCATTCTTGCAATGTTAAACAATGGTATGTCCACTTCTCTTTTCCAGCTTTAGAATCTGAAGTGACATGGTGGATTGCAAGTCAGAATTATGTGGGACATTGATAGAAAAAGATTTCAAATGAGAAGTAATAGAATATATTAGATTCGTGTGAGGTTTTAATTGTTGTTTTAAACCATATACATTTTTATTTTTTATTTTTTCATCCAATTTCCAATATGTATATTAAGAATTATATGTGAGGTACTCTCTTATTTGTTTTCTTACATACATCAAAGCATTTTTATAAAAATTCTCAAAGCGACATACTAAAGGTGCAATGCACCATTTACAAAATTTAATTTCATCCTAATTTTATTGTACTCCACATAGTAGATAGAAAATAACTTGTTTTAGTTGAAAATTGTTTATCCTTTTATTAAGAGATGAATGACATGAAAGGTGAAATTTTTTTTATTCATCTCAATTTTCATATTCAACTCGTTTTATTCATATGACTATTATACATTCTATCAACTCGTTTATTTTATTAATAATCATTTGCAGCCTAAGTGAGGTAAGTAATCTAATAGAACTTTCTAAGCGTTTTATTGTTTCTTCATTTCTTATCCATCTCTTCATGTAAGATAGTTCTTATCCAATATTATATAAAAGTACTTATGCGTGACTTACTCTCTTATTTGATTTTCTACAATTATCATTGAAATGAAAAAGGAAAAAAAAAAAAAACTAAACGTTTTGTACCAAAAATACAATCTCAAAGCACTCGATTCTCGTCAATCTTTTTCTGGCATACTAAAGGTACAAATGGTTGATACATTTTAGGAGGTTAAAAGAGATAAATCTAGCTTTCAACTATATTCAACGAGAAATGCACCATTTACGCTCCACAATCATCACAAGAACCATTTCAACCGGATTTGTACCTTCAATACCAGAGGATAGACTTGTTCAACAGGTGTTCCAGGCTTTAGAGCCACACCTGGCCTCATCCCAACAGACTTAATATTTTCCACAAGTTCTTGCCAATTCTCTGAAAATAAGCAAAACACAAGTCAAGACCGAGCATTAGGATGAGACAAAATTGGAGGATGGTGTAGGGGAAAGAGCTATCTATATATACCTTTGGCCACCTCAACGTGCAATGTGAAACCAGACGCCCCAGCTTTAGCCATTTGATCCACGTAAATTATATACCATTTGAGCTATCTATATATCCAGTTTGGGTAAATTATCCAAAGTCCAAACCAAGCCAAACCGACCCGAACCGATCCTAAATCTGTTTTTTTTTTCCGATTCAAATTCGGATAAAACCAAAGAACCGGATCGGTTCATGTTCTTATAGTTTCGGTTCTCAGTTACGGTATGCACCTAGTTAACCAGAATCAAATTGAAATTAAAAACCCTAGTTCCGACCTCGACTTGATTTGTAACTGTCGTTCACGAGCGAGTCGTCGACGACAAACGCATGCGAACGCTCTCTTCTTCTTCTTCTTCTTCTCCTTCTTATTCAATCTCTTTTTCATCGATTGTGAGAAGCGATAAGAAAGGGTTCGATTGCTCTCTATATATCTTTCATCTTTCTCATTTTTACACTCTAAGCTCGAAGAAATCTGGGTTGAAGTGTGTTCGTGTTCGTGTGTTCTCTTAAGGTAATTTTGGATTCGAACTTGTGGGTCGCTGGAAAAACTGAATTTTGTGTAGCTATGAACTTGTGGGTCGATTTTGTTTCTACTAAGGGTTCGTGTTGGTTTAAGTTTTGACGATGAACAAACATGAAGCTGTTTTTTAGGAATTCGTTTTTTCTTGACTTCAATCAATCGTTACGATAACGTCCTAGGTTCTAACTTTGTATTCTGTGGATGATACGGGCTTTGAAGAAAGTTGCGTTTGATGGGAATGATTTTTATTTTGAGCTTTGGCTATTTAGATTTTGCTAGTTGGGCAGATTCTTTGGTCAATGGTTGTTGATATTTGGGCAGATTTGTGTAGCTTTAAGCTAGAAGCGACTATTGTGTAGCCTTATTGCTAGAGCTTTAAACAATTGCTAAAGTTTCTCTCTTTGTATTGGCTTTGGTGCTTGTGTAGAATCCTGAGTAATTTAGGATGGATTGTGAGGAAAACGTTGGGAATGAATCGCTCGTTCTGATAAAGCAAGGAGCAGAAGCTGTAAGTTTATATGGAGGAATCAGTGTATATGTTTTTTGCTTTTTGTGGAAAGACTAAGTGTTTTCAGTTTTATCTATAGAGGGTGTTTGAGTCTACATTTGCCGGAAGAAGATCCATTGTGAAAGAACGATTCTCGAAGAAATATAGACACCCGATTTTGGATGCGAAACTCACACTCAAACGCTTGAATGCGGTTGGTTTATTTTCGCATCACCTTTACTTGTTTCGTTGTTTGAATCTGAGAGAGAAAAATGGAAAAATCGAGTGTTTCATCTTGTATGTGCGTACATTGTTGTATATAGGAGGCTAGGTGTATGACAAAGGCAAGAAAGCTCGGGGTTTGTACTCCAATCCTCTATGCTGTGGATACTCTGCTTCACTCTTTAACACTTGAGTACATTGAGGGCGTCTCTGTTAAAGACATTTTCCTTGACTTTGGGGCCAATGGGATTATTGAGGAACGGTTAGATGATGTTGCTGCTCAGATTGGGGCTGCAATTGCTAAGCTCCATGATGGTGGCCTGGCTCACGGTGATTTGACTACATCAAATATGTTAGTCAGAAGTGGAACAAATCAGCTGGTAAGTATCTGCATTCTGCAGAGCTTCTGTACTTGATTAGTTTACTTATGATTTATGACAATGGATATATTCTCAGGTACTAATCGATTTTGGCTTGAGTGTCACATCGACCTTGCCTGAAGACAAAGCTGTTGATTTATATGTGCTTGAAAGAGCCTTACTCTCAATGCATTCTTCATGCGGGAATGTGGTAAGAGTGATGCATATATTATAACTTCACTACTTTTGATGGGTCTTTCTATCTTAAATGGTGTATTTTGTATTCAAATGTAGATGGATCGTATATTGACAGCGTATAGGAAGTCCTCGAAGCAATGGTCAGCCACGTTTAACAAGCTCGCGCAAGGTACTATTAACCCTCTTCCATGTCCCCTCATAAAACCAACTCTGTTTTCAAATCTTAAAAAAGTCTTCTTTTGGTTATGCAGTGAGGCAACGAGGTAGAAAACGGACTATGATTGGATGAGTCAAGATCTCCAGTGATCCTGTCTTTAAACTTGACTACAAAGCCACCCAAAATTTTTCCTATATGATTGAATAGCGGTGGGAAAACTCATGCCTTGAATGTTTAAATACATGTACACTACTCTGTTTTATTGTTCGATAGCGGTCTAGTTTGTTGATCAGTATGAAGCTGTCGATGCTAAAGTTTCAGTGGGCGTTCGTTGGCTTTTACGGTCGGAGGATGAGGTTTGATAAAATGGACATAAGACAATATTATTTGATGTGCGATCCATTTTTTAGTTATACGTAAACACAATGCCGAAAGAGATTAAACCAGTAACAATCTTTTTCTTTAACCTTATTCTATTCGATTTTATTGTAAAATACGAGTTTACTTTCTTTGATTATTCTCTAAGCACGACCTTATTCTCTTCGATGAAAAAGAATTGAGTATGCATTGCATGACACCGACTCTCAAAGTCTCTCATTTATATCATTTTCAAATATATAATTTAATGTAATTGTTTATTTAAAATTTAAATTATAATTTTTTAAAAAGCCAAGCAGATGTTGACATGTGTAAAAACAGTCTCTTAATGAGTTCTCAAAAATTTCATTAAAAAATAGATTCTCATCTCTCTCATCTATTTTTTTTTTTTTTTTTTTTTTAATATTATTGTTAAAAACTTCTGTAGAAACCTTGCAATGCTGTTCTAAGGGAACAAATGTTAAAGGCAAGAGTTATACGAGAAATTTGCTTCAGCCATGTGCGATATCTAATCCTCTGGTCTTGATATGGTCTCAATTGCAACTTCACAACCTTGGTTTCTTCGTTTTAAGAACTTTAATTTACGCATAAGCAATTCCTCAAACTCTCGATGACAGGAGCACCAATCGTTAGATTCGGAACAAAATGCTTGCCCGAGTAACACATAATTATACCGACTGCATGCTCATAAGTCATAATTCACAGAGTAAAAAAACACAGCTAAAGCAGTAAAATTTACCCGTCCTGCAAATGAAATAACAGTGTAATAAGTATGGAACAAGTAAAGGTTATGTAGCATGTAAGTCCATAAGGACTATAACAAGAACAAAAATCAGCTTCTTGGTTGTTGTTTCATACTAAAAGCAGAGATACAAGTTTCAGATCAGAATTCCACAACATTCAACACACCAGACCCTAGAGTGATTGAAAATCTAACTTCTTTCCATTTTTGTTATAACAAATCATAATTCTTTGTACAATTCGGATTCAGATGTCAAAGGTACAATCTTGAACTTTATCATATTCATATCAAAGGTGAAACCTTTCAATCACCAAGTAAGTAAATTTACTGAGTGAAATAAAAAAAAAAAAACAGATTCGAAGAAGAAGAAGCAATAAAGGTTGTTACCATAATGTCCATGTGAAGCCAATTGGCGCCTAAATCGATCATCCGCTTAGCCTCCGCCTCAAGATTTGCAAAGTCCGATGACAACATCGACGGAGCGATCTTCGGTGACACTCCCACCATCTTCCCTGATTTCAACGACGACTATGGTAGAGAATGATCTGATAATGATGCGTTAGGTGAGAGCACTGAGAGAAGAGAAGAAATAAGAAAATGCGAGCAATGGGCAATTGGGTCAACCCGTTAATCCGAATCTTAACCCGACCCAGCTTGATTCCACCAAACCTGATGACGTGGCATCAAACACCAAGGATTAAAGAGAGATTAATAAAAACAAGGCAACAATAACATAAACCACTTCTAAGAAAGTCACTTAGACATTTTGTCAAACACCTTATCTACAACAACTAAAGGTTTTATTACAGAAATTGAGCATGAATGCATGACTCATAGAGTCATATTACATACACAATTACACATGATTGAATGATACACTGATGCTTCAAAGTTCACACCTTACACACAGATTCTTTTCATTATTTGTTTGGGTATAAGGGAAGCCCAATAAGATGTTTGATGGGCCGAAAAGTGACCCATGAAAGGAGGATATAAATGTTTTAGAAACATCCACAGGTTTTGGTGTTGGGTGGATATGCATTTGGAGTTGCAATTAGCTTCTCACTTATTTTTTTCACTTTGATAGATTCTTGCTCCTTTTGTTTCTCTATTTTTTCTCTTTTGGCTTCTGCAATCTTCTCAATTTCAGCTATTTTTTTCTTGAATTTTTTTGAGTATTCAGTTTTCTCCACTTCTAAACTCTCCTGATAAAAAAAATAAAAATAAACAGAAATAATTTTTAAATCGTAGTAAAACTAGATAACATAGACATATATACATTCATAGAAGAGACCCCTGTTTGAAAAATCGCTAGGCGCTAGTCGGGCGCTCGGCATGGGCCTACCGATTAATCGGAAAATCGGATTAAAATCGGGGATTAATCGGGGACTAGTTTTAGGTTTATTTTAATATTTTTAAAACATATTAATCCAATATTTATTTCAAAATTGCAGTAAACACATAATAATGTATTTTTGAGACATTTTTATAATTTTTATTAAAATTTTATAATTTTTATTAAAATTTTATAATTTTTATTAAAATTTGAACATAAATTATTATAAAACATCACAAAGTCCCAATTCTAATGATTGAATAACAAAAATAAAAAGTTTTTTTATACTTGTAATCTAAAAATAATCGGGATATGTAAAATTAGTCGGAGAGTAATCGGATTAGGCGGGAAGTAATCGGATTAGGCAGAGAGTAATCGGAGAACTGATTTCTTTATGGGATCAGTCATTAATCGAGGCGGAGAAGGTGGGCCTAGCGATTAAGCGGGGAGTAATCGGGTTAGGCGGGGATTTTTAGAACAAAATGTATGCTTCTTAGCCTCCGCTTAGCCTCCGCCGCTATATGAATAAAAGTTTTGAACAAAAGTACTTTTCTATAATATTGTTTGTATTTTACTATAAACGTTAAATAAATTGAAGAAAAAATATATTGAATAGCTAAAATTCTCTATATACCTCCATTTTCTTCAAATCTAACTCTAGAGCTGTCTTCGTATTGTTCTCCCATGATTCAATGGAGCAAAGTTCTTTGTAAGCCCTGCTTACATTGATTCAAAGAACAAAATGTAAATAATATATTGATATTATAAAGTATAAAAGTGGTAATTTTGCATATCTTGCTACATATATATAACTGTATGTTTTGAATTTATGATCACTTCAATATTTCTGTGAGAAATTAGTTAGTAATTTGAATGCAAAACAATGTTGATCTTTATGGTTCTAGTGTCATTATATATTTTTGTTTGGTATATCTTACTTGGTTTGAGCTTTTGCCTTCTCGTTCTCTTCCCACGCATCTATCAACGCAAGTCTCTTCTCTTTCTCTATCTCAACAAGTTTTTCATCTTCTCTTTCTCTATCACAATAATCGTTTTTATCCCTTGCAAATGACCACAACTCCAAGAAGCTAGAGTCCCATCCTAGTTGCCACGAGCAAATCCTAATAGAGGCTCGTCCTCAAAACGTCCGGATAAAACGCCTTGAGAAGTTTCTAAAACATTTATATCCAACACCAAAACCTGTGGATGTTTCTAAAACATTTATATCCTCCTTTCATGGGTCACTTTTCGGCCGATCAATCATCTTATTGGGCTTCCCTTATACCCAAACAAATAATGAAAAGAATCTGTCTGTAATTGTGTATGTAATATGACTCTATGAGTCATGCATTCATGCTCAATTTCTGTAATAAAACCTTTAGTTGTTGTAGATAAGGTGTTTGACAAAATGTCTAAGTGACTTTCTTAGAAGTGGTTTATGTTATTGTTGCCTTGTTTTTATTAATCTCTCTTTAATCCTTGGTGTTTGATGCCAGGTCATCAGGTTGACCCAATTGCCCATTGCTCGCTTTTTCTTATTTCTTCTCTTCTCTCAGTGCTCTAACCTAACGCATCATTATCAGATCATTCTCTACCATAGTCGTCGTTGAAATCAGGGAAGATGGTGGGAGTGTCACCGAAGATCGCTCCGTCGATGTTGTCATCGGACTTTGCAAATCTTGCTGCGGAGGCTAAGCGGATGATCGATTTAGGCGCCAATTGGCTTCACATGGACATTATGGTAACAACCTTTATTGCTTCTTCTTCTTCGAATCTGTTTTTTTTTTTTTATTTCACTCACTAAATTTACTTACTTGGTGATTGAAAGGTTTCACCTGTGATATGAATATGATAAAGTTCAAGATTGTACCTTTGACATCTGAATCCGAATTGTACAAAGAATTATGATTTGTTATAACAAAAATGGAAAGAAGTTGATTCTCAAATACTCTAGGGTCTGGTGTGTTGAATGTTGTGGAATTCTGATCTGAAACTTGTATCTCTGCTTTTAGTATGAAACAACAACCAAGAAGCTGATTTTTGTTCTTGTTATGGTCCTTATGGACTTACATGCTACATAACCTTTGCTTGTTCCATACTTATTACACTGTTATTTCATTTGCAGGACGGGTAAATTTTACTGCTTTAGCTGTGTTTTGTTTTTTACTCTGTGGATTATGACTTATGAGCATGCAGTCGGTATAATTATGTGTTACTCGGGCAGGCATTTTGTTCCGAATCTAACGATTGGTGCTCCTGTCATCGAGAGTTTGAGGAAGCACACAAAGTAATGCACTACATCCCTTTGATTAATATATCTGACATGTTCATATCCTTGAAAACTTTTATCATTCCTTTTATCACAGTGCATATCTTGATTGCCACTTAATGGTTACGAACCCCATGGATTACGTGGATCAAATGGCTAAAGCTGGGGCGTCTGGTTTCACATTCCACGTTGAGGTGGCCAAAGGTATATATAGATAGCTCTTTCCCCCACACCATCCTCCAATTTTGTCTCATCCTAATGCTCGGTCTTGACTTGTGTTTTGCTTATTTTCAGAGAATTGGCAAGAACTTGTGGAAAAGATTAAGTCTGCTGGGATGAGGCCAGGTGTGGCTCTAAAGCCTGGAACACCTGTTGAACAAGTCTATCCTCTGGTATTGAATTATTAAAATTGTTGTTTGGCCAGAGTGCGATCGGTTTATTATGCGTGCTTGACCTATCTATGACAGGTTGAAGGTACAAATCCGGTTGAAATGGTTCTTGTGATGACTGTGGAGCCTGGATTTGGTGGCCAGAAGTTCATGCCCAACATGATGGACAAGGTTATGTTTCCAACTCTGGAAATCGAAATCCCATCTGCTTATTGAAATCCCCTTGTAACCTCAGTTTTTGATATTCTTGATATAGGTCCGGGCATTGAGGAACAAGTATCCAACACTTGATATTGAGGTAAGGCATCTCAATCCTACTGTTCAGACAGTGTTTGATCTTTCCTTAAACTGAGTTCTATCTCCTGGGTCAGGTGGACGGTGGCTTAGGTCCTTCCACAATCGATGCAGCGGCTGCAGCTGGGGCCAACTGTATCGTCGCAGGAAGTTCGGTGTTTGGAGCTCCTGAGCCTGGGGATGTCATATCCTTTTTGCGGGCCAGTGTTAAGAAGGCGCAGCCCTCCACTTAAGGGAGTGGGAGTGGGAGTACCCCAAGCAATAACTGTAAGAGCCAAGGCCTTTATAGCTAATACTTTTTTATAATTCTTTGAAATGGAATAAATCTTTAATCTGTCTCAGAGCTTTTGCCCTAGCGATGAACTTTCTCAAGAAAATCACCGCAGATAGAAACTTTTGATATGTAGCAGTTACATTTTTGTCTATCAGACTTAATTAGATAATCCAGATATTCAATAGACGATTTGATTAAGCGTCAGCTTAAATTTCAAGAGCATTGAGCAATTTAATCTGAAACAAAAATTCTCTTTATGAACCACTAGAAATATCAATATCACGTTTTTATTGATCAAAAATTCATAACAGAAACGATCAAAGCCAACCGAAGAATCAAAAATGATCGAACCAAACCTTCTTAACAGAAGTAACCAGAACCAATCTCGTTTCAACTCACAAAACTACCAGAGGACCTAACCTAATTCGATTTTCTCGAAGGATCGAAGATTTGACCAAGGAACAAAATGGTTCCGGTTTTGTCTTCTCTAATCAAGAAAAGAAATGGATGATCTGCCACAAAATCTATCCTCTTCTCCATATGAAAACCAGTGCTTGTTTCCATCATTCCAAAAGTAACAGCCGCAGCTTCAGCGCCTTCTTCATCGATCTTGACACAAGCTTTATGGTACAACGACAATGAATCAAGTTCAGGAAAATCCAAAGTGGAAAACATGAAAGAGATGTTAAACTTTGGAATTCTGAAATCAGCCACTTCAACTCGGTATCTCGGAATGTGACTATCTACAAATCCAGGAGTAGATACCATTTCCTTCAAAAGACTATCCAATCCATCATTCTTGTCGGGAAGATAGAAATACATTGAGAATTTTCGTTTGGTATCATCATGGCCTTGTTGGTATGGTAGTCCAAGGACCTTGAAACCATCGTAAGCCTTGATATATTGACTTTTATAGCTTCTCATGAAAGGCACATGTACTTGTTTGCCATCGAGTAGATGAAACTTGTTGATTTTGGTTAAAGACTTGTCAAATTTGTTTTCCCATGCTCCTTTGAAGTACAATGCGTTTCCATAAACCTGAACGGTTTCGCTTTTAACGGATCCAGGAGGAAGAAGGTCTCTGATGAGACCATTGGTGTGATCGGAAGCCCATTTATTCAGCTCACGACGCACTTGTTCAGCCTCCATTAAAACAAAACAAAACAAAAAAACATGTCAGAGAGGATTATTATAAAACTGAAAGCTTATGTTTAACAAAAATCTCAAAACCCTAAAATATTCTTAAAACATTATAAGAATATTAACCAAATAAAACAATAGATATACTATTTGGTTAAATTAGAAGATTAGAAGATTAAGGAACAGGGAAAAATTACCTTGAATCGGAAATCAACTTGAGCAAAAGTAGCTTTGAAAAATTTCTCCAAGAGATCCTTCAAAGAGGAATCAAAGGGGAGTGATTGCTCGACCCAAATTCCGTTTATCGCTGAGATTTTGGGGCCGCCCTTGGTGCTACCGTCAGCGAAGACGAGGGTAGCGATCTCGCTGAAGACAGCGTTACGCTCGTCAGAACCAGGAGTCGTCATGGTGACCACGGTGTTGATTGATGCGGGAGAGAAGACGAAGTTAGAGTTTCTATCTAGGGCAGAGATTACTTTCCCCGCAAGGAACATAGCAGCCTCGTTTTGCTTCTTCATCGCTTCTACCATATCCTTCTCTGAGAGAGAGGGACTTGCCATTACATGTGATTTGCTAAGTTTTTGCTTTTTCTTCTTTTCTGAATTTATCTTTGAGGGAGAGGTACCTGCGGTTTCTGATGATGTGCTAAGCTTTTGTTTTCTCTTTTTTGGATCCATCTTTTAATGTTTTTTTTCTTTGTAAGCCTACATACATGTTATATAGTTTTTTTTTTTGTAAAGTCGGTTTAAGAAGAAATTTATGTATTAATGTGTTCAAAGGAAAATCATGCATTAATACTAGGGGAAAATCCGGGCTACGCCCGGGTATATGTTAGTTAGACGATCTACGTGAATGAGTGTAATTCAATCTATAATTACATATACATAGGAATAGTTTATCATCTAGGAAGTGGCCAAATTATATTTTCAGAACTTTGTGATAACTTTGTCATGGGGAACTTAAATTGTTCATCATTGGAATCTAGAAATTAAAAGCATAATTAGAGAAACTTTGCTGATAATTAAATCAAATGAATACAAATTGGTAACTTGGACTAAGAGAATACAAAATTAATCTATACTACACAAAGCGAATCTTCTAAAGGAGTGTTGTCAAGATGTTAGGAAGTGGTGAAAGTTGGATAGTCACGTCAATTAGAAAATAGAGAGTTTAAAACAATCAAAAGATCTTCAGAATAACCTTAACCACTGTACTGTGTGATGAGTAACCAAACAATCAGAAGATCAAAAGTACTCACTTTGATCCTAACATACTTGGGCTTTCTTTCTCAAACAATCCAACTTCAGTAAAGCTAAAAATTAGTACTTTATTTTCCCCCACAACTACAATTTCTTAAACTGCATTTCTTTCATAATATAATGTGTAATTTCCCCAAAAGAAAAGAAAAGTCTATGCGATGACAGCATAGTGCAACCATATATATGTTTTTAGTCAACTATGTTTTTCCCATTGACCTTTACAATTGCAACTTTAATCTCAAATTTATACATGTAAAATGTATGAAAGTGAAAATTCCATAGAGAAGCAGCAGACTGCAGATGTCGACACGGACGAGGAAGAAGCAAGGAAAGTTTCGCTGCTTGTGATTTCTATCAAAAGGAAACCTAAATATATATGAAGAAGCTATGAATCCTGTTGCAGAAAATAATTATTGCCTTTGACGGTTTAGATTCTTTGGAAGAGGATATTATGGAGGTAGAATAGATCAAGGGAAGACGATCCGCTCAGTTTTAAGATGGCAAACAGAGGAAACAATGGCTAGACACGTGACATTTAATAATTGGATATAAGAAACTTGTTTGGATTACGTGGATGAGACACTGAAGTTGTAAAATTTTCATTTATGCTCGTAGGTTGATGCAAAGGGCGTAATAGAGTGAGCTGATGTGGCAATTTTAGAGAGCTTTTGAAAATAGCTGATGTGGACACATTGAGAGGCTTCAATCCAGACTACGCCCGGTATATATTTGATAATTAAACTAATTTATTTTTTTCGTTTTTATAGAATACATACCAAATAATCATGTGATGTAGTATCTTTTATTTTTAAAAAAATATTATGGCAAAATTAATGGTTCAGTTTTATCTATATTTAAACTGAATTCTTTGTAATATATATTTACAATGTAAAAGTATATTGTATTCGAGTAGATGAAACTTGTTGATTTTGGTTAAACCATCGTAAGCCTTGATATATTGACTTTTATAGCTTCTCATGAAAGGCACATGTACTTGTTTGCCATCGAGTAGATGAAACTTGTTGATTTTGGTTAAAGACTTGTCAAATTTGTTTTCCCATGCTCCTTTGAAGTACAATGCGTTTCCATAAACCTGAACGGTTTCGCTTTTAACGGATCCAGGAGGAAGAAGGTCTCTGATGAGACCATTGGTGTGATCGGAAGCCCATTTATTCAGCTCACGACGCACTTGTTCAGCCTCCATTAAAACAAAACAAAACAAAAAAACATGTCAGAGAGGATTATTATAAAACTGAAAGCTTATGTTTAACAAAAATCTCAAAACCCTAAAATATTCTTAAAAAATTATAAGAATATTAACCAAATAAAACAATAGATATACTATTTGGTTAAATTAGAAGATTAGAAGATTAAGGAACAGGGAAAAATTACCTTGAATCGGAAATCAACTTGAGCAAAAGTAGCTTTGAAAAATTTCTCCAAGAGATCCTTCAAAGAGGAATCAAAGGGGAGTGATTGCTCGACCCAAATTCCGTTTATCGCTGAGATTTTGGGGCCGCCCTTGGTGCTACCGTCAGCGAAGACGAGGGTAGCGATCTCGCTGAAGACAGCGTTACGCTCGTCGGAGCCAGGAGTCATCATGGTGACCACGGTGTTGATTGATGCGGGAGAGAAGACGAAGTTAGAGTTTCTACCTAGGGCAGAGATTACTTTCCCTGCAAGGAACATAGCAGCCTCGTTTTGCTTCTTCATCGCTTCTTGCATATCCTTCTCAGAGAGAGAAGAGGGACTTGCCATTACTTGTGATTTGCTAAGTTTTTGCTTTTTCTTCTGTTCTGGATTCACCTCTGATGGTGTGCTAAGCTTTTGTTTTTTTTTTGTATCCATCTTTTAATGTTGATTAGGTTTTTTTTTTTGCGTAGAGTCGGTTTAAGTAAAAAACGGAATACAAATCTTTTGATACGGCATATGCTTTTTTGATTTTTCGGATTTTCTATACAAAATCTACTTGTGATCGATAATATTTTTATCTTTTTCATTAAATCATTTTTATACTAATAAACTCCATAAATTCGGCGAAAAACTATACAAATATCTCCGGTATGCAGTGCAGTGTCCCACCATAGAAACAACAAAGCGTGTCTCTCGTTTGCAAACAAACAACACAAAGCGTCTTAAAAATTAAAATAAACCACATGAGTAACCAAAAATTAACCCGGTTTAATTATAGAATTCACGGTCGGTTTAAGGTCGATTTTGTCTCCTCTACTAAACCCTAAACCAAAGGTTTGATTATTTTCATTTCGTTTTCTCGAAATCGCATTTGCATCTTCTTCAACACAATCTGAGCTCGTTTATCACCAACACCACCGTCGTTCCTCTCCGGTAAGTTATTTAGGGTTGATTTTGTTCCATGGCCATTGGGAATATCAGATTTGAGCATTCATACTCTGTTTTAATCTTCACAGTACCGGTTGATTAAGTTCTGTTTGTGATTTCATCAATTTTGGAATCTGGGATTTATCTTCTCCAATTCGAGCTTCTGGGATCATTGGGTTAATGGAATTTTTGAATATTATGTGACTTTGTTATGCTCAAGTCTCTTGTATTTCGTATTTTCTCTTAGGTGCTGTTCGTTACTTCATTCAGATGATCCATCTGAATGGAGATGAGTTATGATGTTCGTTTATAACAATTTTACAGAGCAGTGAGATGAACCAGTTGGATGATTTTTATTAAACTCATCCAAAAAATGATCATTTTCCGACTGAGTCTGATTGGAGCAGTTGACTGGAGCTGATTCAGTCTAAAATATAAAATGACCTAAATACCCCTATCTAAGTTGGAGAATTACACCAAAAAACCTAAACCTACTTCTCATCATTCTAACCACGACAAAGACTCAAGAGAGCCATCCTTCGACAAAGTGAGAAGAGAAACGAGATCTTCGTCGGATCTCTTCGCAGCTGGATCTCTCCGCCGGATCTCTCGCCGGAATCCACTCCTCTTTGATCTTCTCACTCCACTCCACTCGTCTTTGATCTCTCCGCCGGCTGTCTTCTTCTCTCTCGTGCGTGGGTTTGAATTAGCTGCGACCATTGTTTGAGAGGTAAGACTCATGGGTTTGATTATTGGATTTGATTTCTCCTTTAGTCATTGAAATCTCGAAGTGGGTTTCAGGTGTTACGGATTGAAATCGCTGCAACCACTGTTTGAGAGGTATGATATATCTCTAATTCATGATTTTGTATTGAGTTTATGTGTACCAATGGAGACGAGTGTTGTGGCTTTGTTTGATTTCGTGTTTCTAATGCTTATAGGCTATGTGAATCTGGTGAGTTTTTGTTTCAGTGATTAGCTATTTCTTCTTCTCTTGTAACTCTTTTCTATAGAACCTCCGAGAAAGTAGAATTTGATACAGATGTTAATTGGTTTGAAACCTCCAATGCATTGTAATTGTTTAGATTTATGTGGATTGGATGTGTGTGGAGATTATACTGTTGGTGGATTGTAGAATTCAATGCATTGTATGTAACTGTTTATAAGATGATGTGTTGTTTAGATTTATGTGGATGTTTGTTACCAATGTTAAGGTGGATCTTTGTGAAGATAGCTTGAAACGTTTCATGCTTGATGGATTGTTTTGGATTCTGTAGTGCGTTTACAGAGATGAAATGTTGTCAAGCTTGGCTGCATCTGTCTTTGGATTGTAGAATTCGTTAGGGAAATGAATCTAGTGAGTTTTTGTTTGCTGCTTTATCTATCAGAATTTGTGTGTTGTATTGTTTGGATTACTTTTGTGTACACGACTGAAGTTGTATACATTTGTGTTTAGTGTTTTGAATGTCTGTCCATCATGGGAATTTCTTCATAATTTTGTAACTTCACATCAATGGCTGCCTCAAGCTAATAAGACCCGTTTCATTAATTGCAAGGACTAAATGTCTGTCATTTGTTAATGAGAATTAGTTTTGTGTTATTGATTTGCTTTTGATTAAGACTGATTTAAAACTAGTTTTGTTAACTGGTTTTGCTTCTTTTTATTCCTTCAGGGACAACTCAAAAACAATGTCAACTATCGAGGGTAGTGATGTGAGTATCTTCCCCTTTAAACTCATATTTTACTTAATGCTTTTTTGTAATTTAGATTGATTTTTTACGAAATCATATATTTCTATCTTAAACTAAGAATCTTGCATGGAGTGATGAGCAAACTCGTTTCTATCTTCAACTAAGACTTGATGAGAAGCTTAAAGGAAATATAAGAAAAGATAAAGTTGAATTGATGTCAACTTTAAGAAACGTATTTGGGAATGTAATTATAGTCAATTTCTGCTGGAAGCAAACAAATGGGCAGAGTTTAGGAACAGTGTATCTGATTTCTTTGTAGATGAGTTTTTTTTTTTCTCTCCAGTGATTCTGATTTCCATGTCTTGCATCTCTTGAATGATACTGTTTATTTATAGCTTGGCTTGAGGAAAGACCATTCTTGATATAAATTTGAACACGTTGCTTTGGATCTTATTGTTGTTCTTGGCTTGAGAAAAGACCATTCTTGATATAAATGTGACAAAGGCTTTGTTTTTGTTGCAGAATTTGAGCACGTTGACAAAGGAGACGATCAAAATTGAGAGGCTCTAATGGTAGGCTTGCTCAAAACTTGCTCTATATTGCAATCAGAATCAGAAATTATAAGACTGTGTATTGTTTTTATGATTTTTGGAGTTTATGTTTGGTTGGTTCTTATAAAAAATTTAATTTAATGAAAATGGAATTTTATAAATTTTTAAATATAATAATTTGACATTTGTTTGGTTGTAAAATATATTTGATCAATAATTAAAATTAAAATGATTAAGATTGAGAATTAAAATATAATTAGATGAAAACAGGGGTATTTTAGTCACTTTTATTAAGATGAGGATGTGGATGAATTACCAAATAATCAAACAAACAAAGGTTCATTTAAATGCATCATTAAGATGAACTACCCAAATGATCAAACAAACATCATTCAGATGCTTCATCCAAATGGATCATTTGGATAGATCATTTGGATGCAAATGCCAAATGATGAAACAAACAAGGCCATAGTCCAAACTCCAAAGTCCAAATGATAGATGTGTCACGACTTTGTTTTTCTTACCTTTGGATCTTCATAGCTGTAACAAAATCATATGCTTGCATTGTGGTCAGCTCTAGGATCAAAACCAATAGAATCTGGATAATTTTATCAGTTTTGAAATTGGTAGATTCTTCTATGGATACAGATGTATACAAGCATTTACCATGAGTCTATTCTTCCTTAAAGCTTTGCTTTTTGGAGTAATCCAAGTGAAAGTTTGTGTTTTGTCCTTTAACTGTTAAACCACTTACAAATGGTTCTTACTTAGACTAACAATGAATAATTTGTTTTCTTTCTCAAATTTAGGTTGTTATATCATTTTTTCTTATATAGATTTATTGCTCTCTGTTCTTTGTTAATCTTGTTTCTGAACTTAATCTGTATAATTCATAAGCCTTTTGTTCATAGATTACTTATCCTCTTTAATGACTTTTATTTCTTCAGATATCGGGGCGGAAGTCTTGTCCCAAAATGTCTATCAGGAGGCCTCAAATCCCTCGGCTTCTTCTCCAAAACGTCTCTTGCATGAGAAACGCGCAGCAGATTCTAAGACACGTGAATGTATCTCTTCATGACGGTGGTGCACTTGTCTTAACTGGAACAAATGGATCCGGTAAATCGACATTCTTGAGAATGTTAGCTGGATTCTCAAAACCCTCTGCAGGAGAAATCCTTTGGAACGGTCACGACATCACACAATCAGGAATTTTCCAACAATACAAACTCCAACTCAACTGGATCTCTTTAAAAGACGCCATCAAAGAGAGATTCACAGTACTCGACAATGTCCAATGGTTTGAGCTTCTCGAGAATAAAATCGGCAAAGCTCAACCCACATTGGAGCTAATGGGTTTAGGGAGACTGGTGAAAGAGAAATCGAGAATGTTGTCCATGGGTCAGAGGAAAAGGTTGCAACTTGCAAGGCTCCTCGCTATCGACAGACCGATATGGCTATTGGATGAACCATCTGTTGCTTTGGATGATGAAGGAGTTAGATTGCTCGAGTATATTATCGCAGAGCATAGGAAAAAAGGAGGGATTGTAATTGTCGCAACTCATCTTCCTATCGAGATTGAAGATGCTATGATCTTGAGGCTTCCTCCTAGATTTCCAAGGAAAATGACTTTGATTGATATGCTTGATCGTGCAGACATTTCTTAGTAGAGAAATCAAAGAGATTTTATATTTAAGAGAGTTTTATCTCGTGTAATGGAATGTTAGTTTCTCAAGCAAATTTGGTTAGTGGAGTTTAGTAAATCCAAAGTCCAAATTTAATGGAATGGATTAATTAGGAAATTTCACAAACTTAACCTAAAATTGAAATAACTTAACTATAATTTTTGGAAAGACAAATTAATCTTTTGCTTTTGGTCATCAGACAAAAGAATCCATGCTCTGAAAAAGTAATACACATTCTAATCTTGAAATTGCCACAGATTAAAGAACCAATAATAAAACTTTTATGAAAAGAAGGAAACAACGAATAGCGGTCGCTCTTTAGGATTTGGCACGAGTCAAACGTATACGTTTGTACATTGACCTATTGTTCTTATTACTATGTCGTGTCGTGTCTGTTCTTAAACCCCATCCATCGATAACTGAAACTAAGCATGAGCTGTTTTTTCTTTTATTGACTAAAATACCCTCAAGTCATTTTCGTTCTTCAGTTCTTCTTCTTCTTTTGATTAAAGACCCCATGAGAAGTTTAAATTCTCACTGACCCATTTGTTTTCTTGCAATCTTTTGTAGAACCCTGAACCAAAGTTTGCATCTTTCTCTTTAAATTTTGTGTCTTTCTTTAATTCTTTGGAGGGGTTTTTCAAAAGAAAGAATCTTGAAAAAATGGGTATGGGCACAAGCACTTTCGTTATCAGATGGGTCAATCTTCTTACAATGGTTAGCTTAAACCTCTTCTTCTTTACTTAGTTTCTAATTCTGAGAACCGCATTTGATCGTCCTTTGATTCCTCTTTAATGGATTAGAATCTGGGTTTCCGTACAACTTAGATTATGGTTCTGTCTTATGAAGGTTCTTAGTGAAATTCCACTGCTTTAGGTTTAATAATGTGCAAGTTTCTACCTTTCAATGTTGATTGTTTCTGCAACTTTATAGTAATGTCTATGCACTTTTGGTGAAGCTATTGGCTGTGGCAGTGATAATATTTGGGGTGTGGATGAGTACACACAATGATGGTTGCAGAAGGTCACTTACATTTCCAGTCATAGCTCTTGGTGGTTTCATCTTCTTGATGTGAGTTTCTTACACTACTTTCACTATTGGCATTACACAACAATGGTTCTTCCTTATGTTTGTTTGTTTGTTTTTTTTTTTTTTTTGTGTTTGCTTTATTGTTCATGAAATGTCTATGATCTGATGTTTGTCAGATCCATAATCGGATTTCTTGGCGCGTGCAAGAGAAGTGTGGCGCTTCTTTGGATTGTATCCTTTACTTTTCATGTTCTGTTTTCTGTTTCTATTGTTGGAAAATTTTGGATTTGAATCTTCCTTGACATGATTGATTCTCCTTTGAAGTATCTTGCTGTCCTCCTGATCGTTTTGATCGCGATTCTTGTCTTTACCGTACTAGCGTAAGCCTCATTTTTCTAGTGGTTAATCATGAAAACTCAGCTGTTGAATCATTAAAGACCTCATTTGTTGCTCTCTTTTTCGGGGTTTTACAGGTTCATTGTAACAAACAATGGTTCTGGCCATACTAACCCTGGTTTAAGGTAACTGTAACTTATATCTCGTCGGTTACATACTTCAATGTATAAATTGGAAAATTCTTGAAACTTTCTACCTCAAACTAGGTACAAAGAGTATAAGCTGAATGATTACAGCTCATGGTTTCTAAAACAGGTATTATAATTTACCGTGGCGCGGATATAGAATTGTAAAGAACTTTGCTTTCATTTTCTCTTTTTCTAATTCTCGTTGATGTTTCAGCTCAACAACACCAGTAACTGGATAAGACTAAAGAGTTGTCTTGTTAAATCCGAGCAATGTAGGAAGCTTTCCAAGAAATACAAGGTCTACTATCTTTCCACCAAGAAAATGCCTTATATTACCGAATATTCGACACTGATTATCTTTGAAATGTTCTTGATTTTTACTAATGATTTCAGACCATCAAACAATTAAAATCCGCAGAATTAACCCCGATAGAAGCTGGATGTTGTCGACCACCATCTGAGTATATATATGCCTCTTCTTTCTTGTTTATTTGTTGATTTACCGCAAAATCTTTAACTGTCTCAATTTTGTTTCGATGCGAAGGTGTGGTTATCCTGCGGTGAATGCTTCTTACTATGACTTGAGCTTTCATTCGATAAGTTCTAACAAAGATTGTAAGCTCTACAAGAATTTGAGGACCATCAAGTGCTACAATTGTGATTCTTGCAAGTAGAGCCATCAACTTCCCCCTTAAAGCTCTTTTGCTACAATGGTCTCATTCATTTTCAGATATAAACTAATTATTCTGTTCGTTTGATTAATAACCGCAGAGCTGGAGTAGCTCAGTACATGAAAACCGAGTGGCGACTTGTTGCGATCTTCAATGTGGTTCTGTTTGTTGTCTTGGTAAGCTATCTTTAATCCCAACTACAAGTCTACAACAATTATAAAACAAGTTTTTTTCGACTTAACTGATCTTGAATTGTTCTTGTGAGAAATGATTTGGTTGTTTTCTTTGTTGAAACACACAACAGTCGATGGTTTACTTTGTTGGATGCTGCGCGAGAAGAAATGCCGCTAGTTACCGATCCAAAGCTTAGAAATCGAAGCCCGGTTTAAAGATTCTTCAAGTTTCAGAGATATCCCACGCTGCGTTGGTGAATGCTTCCAAGAGAGACACAAGAGCAACAACTTCATTCTTTTTACTGTGTAATCAGTGTGTTTTTTGAAACAGAAGAAATTAAAACAGGAAAAAATTTGATTGGATTTACAAAAACTCAGCTTTTTGTTTGAGTATTATGGAAGTCAATTTATAAATAAATAAAAAACAGATTTGATGAGATAATGCATAATGTAAAAAAATCTCTTTTGATTTGCTTTTTAAGGATTTTATCGGTTCAATGGCATAAATCTATTTCTTATGCAAATCAGACCGGATATCAAAAGCTAAACCATCAAAATCCGGTCTTTTATCTTTAACAATCAGAAAATGAGATATCCGGTTCAAATAGTACATGGACAATTGTAGTTAAATTTCGGTTTAACCATACCGAGTTTTGTTGAAAATCAGACCGGATATATCAGTGAAGCGCTTTCAATTACTGGATTACTCTGCCTTAAACCCTAAAAACCTCGAGACAAAAAAAAAAATTTCGTCTGAAAAAAAAGTCACCGGAAAATGTACTCGTTAATTCTCCGGGAACGATCTGGATCCTTCACAGGGTCCTTATGGAGCCAAATCTTCTCTCGGAACATGGGTGGTGGTCCGAGAACTTTCCCTGGAGGGCTGAACAAGTGGCAATGGAAACGTATGCACGAGAAGAAAGCTAGAGAGAAAGAGAACAAGCTCTTGGATCAAGAGAAACAGCTTTACGAAGCTCGAATTAGGACCGAGATCCGAGCTAAAATGTGGGGAAATCCAGATTCCGGCGAGAAAACGGCGAAATCGAAGCAGAGTCACGGACCAATGAGCCCGAAAGAACATATCAAAACTTTGGCTGATCGGTTTATGAAAGCTGGAGCAGAGGATTTGTGGAACGAGAACGATGGGCCGGTGAAGGAATCAGATGATGGGTCGGGATTAACTCGTAGGGATAATGGACGGTCAGGTTCGAATTCGATTGTTTCTTCTTCTAATTCGTCTATTGATGTGAGGAAGTTAGTTAGTGGGACATGTTATTCAATGGGTAATAGTCGGGTTTTCGATCGTAGTAGGAGAGGTTTTTCGAGTATGAGTAGAGGTAGATTTAAGAGAAATGAGAGTTCTTGTGATGAAGGAGATGACTTTGATGCTAAAAAGTTAGATACTTTGAGTCCTTTTTCTCTTAAATTTGCGGGTACCAAGGAGAAAGTGAAGAGCTCGAGGAGTGTTGACGGAGTTATAAGGAACAAAGGTTTGTTTGGTCGGAGGAAGTTTAGGAAGAATGATAGTTCAACTGAAGAGGATTCCGAGGAAGAAGGCGAAGAGGGAAAGATGATAGGTTGGATGGATTTGAGGAAGACAGGAAGCAGTGCGTCGTTAGGAAACCACGATATCAAACTGACGAAAAGAGTGAATCGTAATGTCACGGACGAAGAGCTATATCCTCCGTTAGATATTAATACAGTCAGAGAAGATCTCAGTAAAAGAAAATCTGTGGATAATGTAATAAAGGAGAACCGAGAGCCTCATGACTCGTTTTACAGTAGGAAAAGGTATATTAAACCCGTTGTCTATTAAGGCTTTTGATTTGTCAAGTCTGGATTTTGATGAGCTTTTACTCCTGCTGTATATGTTTGCAGATTTGATGAGTCTAGTATATCTCCTTTGACTCTCAAGGCACTTTCCGCGTCTGGCATTGTTAATATGACTAGAGTACAAGATGCCACTCTCTCTGAGTGCCTCGATGGTATGGATCCTTCTAGTTCGTTTCTTATCCCGGTTCTTTTCTGATTGCTCTGCTTTGGTTTTAATTTCTTCTTTTGTATCAAGGAATTGGCATTTGACAAAGGATTATCCTTTATGTAAAGCAGGTAAAGATGCGTTAGTCAAAGCCAAAACCGGGACGGGGAAAAGCATGGCCTTTTTGGTATTTTACAATCCCTTACCCCAATATCACTGGCCCTAGCTTTTGTTGTTTCTTTAGATAACGCTGTTAAAATTGAAAAACAGCTTCCTGCAATTGAAACAGTTCTGAAAGCTATGAACAACGGTAACAGTGTTCACAAAGTTCCTCCAATATTTGCTCTTATCCTCTGTCCCACAAGAGAACTTGCGAGTCAGATTTCTGCAGAGGGCATGGCTCTGCTCAAATACCACGACGGTATCGGTGTTCAGACTTTAATTGGAGGTACCCGCTTCAAACTTGATCAGCAACGCCTAGAATCCGAGCCATGCCAGGTTTGATCAACTATGATTCTTTGATTTACGGGAATTGTTTATATATCTAGTTGTTGTGGTAAATCTTCTTTTCTTTCCGCACTTTGTTGCAGATACTAATTGCAACTCCAGGAAGACTCTTGGATCATATAGAGAATAAGTCTGGCTTAACATCACGTTTGATGGCGCTTAAATTGTTTATAGTTGATGAGGCTGATCTTTTGCTAGACCTAGGATTCAGGAGAGATGTCGAAAAAATCATAGATTGTTTGCCTCGTCAAAGACAATCTCTTCTCTTTTCTGCAACCATCCCAAAAGAGGTACAATTGCTATATAACTAACTTTATTCTTCTTACCTTTTATGAAAAAATCCAATGCGAAAACACAGCTTAAAGTTGGGTTAATTCAGGTCCGTCGAGTCTCGCAGCTTGTTTTGAAAAGGGATCACTCTTATATCGACACAATCGGTCTTGGTTGTGTAGAGACTCATGATAAGGTAAACACTTAAGCTCTTCTTTTTGTCTCAAAAGCTTGCTACTTGAATCTGGTGAGTGAATTTCTTGCTTTGGTTTCAGGTGAAGCAATCTTGTATTGTTGCTCCTCACGATTCTCATTTCCACTTAGTACCTCATCTACTAAAAGAGCACATCAGCAACACGCTTGATTATAAGGTAAAATAAACCTTGTGAATATAAGCGTTTTTTCTCTTACCTTTATTATTCTCATAACTATCCAATTTCAGATAATAGTCTTCTGCTCAACTGGTATGGTAACATCACTGATGTATACTCTGCTCCGGGAAATGAAATTGAACGTTAGGGAGATTCATGCTAGAAAACCTCAGCTCCATAGAACACGTGTATCAGACGAGTTTAAGGAATCGAAAAGACTGATTCTTGTCACATCTGATGTATCTGCTCGTGGAATGAACTATCCAGATGTTACTTTGGTTATACAGGTAAAGAACAAAAGCAAACATTTTTCATGTCAAGAACAACCTTATATGGATATTTGACGGATTGGACTTGGTATGATGTTGTTGATAGGTGGGTATACCAAGTGATAGAGAACAATATATACATCGTCTTGGTAGAACCGGAAGAGAAGGCAAAGGAGGAGAAGGATTGCCCATGGGAGAGATATTTTCTTGATGAGCTTAAAGATTTGCCTCTTGAACCAATTCCAGTTCCAGATCTTGATTCAAGAGTTAATCTTCAGGTTTGTTTGAATTTAGTGTTTATACTCCTAACTGGAGTTTTATTGCCAAGCGACATTGAGGACAATTGTTTTGTGACCAGGTTGATCAGTCAATGGCTAAGATTGATACAAGTATTAAAGAAGCAGCGTACCATGCTTGGCTCGGTTATTACAACTCGGTTCGAGAAACAGGTAGAGACAAAACCACGTTGGCCGAGTTAGCCAACCGGTTTTGCCATTCTATCGGTTTAGAGAAACCTCCTGCTTTGTTTCGAAGAACCGCGGTTAAGATGGGTCTCAAAGGTATTTCTGGTATTCCAATCCGAAAATAAACCGACCCGGGTTGGTAATTAGATGTGTATCCTCGTGAAGAGAAATGTATCAACATTTATGGTCAGATTAATTTTGTTATTTAATTATGATATATGATTTACTTTTTAATTACAGGAATTTTTGTTTGTCTAATATTGTAAAGCAAGTCATGTGTTAATACATCCCATATTTGAGAAGTTCGTTTATTATATTATTCGTTACAATTGAGATGTAACTACATAAGTTAGGGTAGATACAAATGATACATGATGATTTGGTCAATAATAACATCACTTTGCTCAATAATACATGATAGGTTTCATATTTTTTTTTGAATTTAATTTAAATAAATATAAATGTGTTAGTATTATACTATTATACTAGTTTTTAACCAATTTATTTTCACATAATCATAATTTAATATCAATTTAATTTGATATATCTAGTATTTTATTGATAGTGTTAACAAAATAATGAAATGATGGTTTACCCGTATTGTATCATCGAGTCAATAATATTTTAAATTAATATTAATGTCGATCCGTCCCGCTATATAACCCGTCCTGTGATATTTTTAAATGTTTCAAATTTATTATTTCTGGTATAATTAAACGGTTTGACTAAAAGACGGGGTTAAATGAGATATAAACTTTTAAATATGGATGCTTGTTAAGTTAAGGTTCATATTCATTCAAATTTAGATTCATTTTAGTCTTATTTATAATATGATTTTGAACTATGTCTAAAAATTTTACCCGATGTGGAACGTTGAACACACAATTTTTCTTCATTGTTTGAGTAATACAGTAGAACCTCTATAAATTAATACTCGATAAATTAATAAACACGATAAATTAATAAATTTGGCCGGTCCCGAGTCGGGCCAGTATAAAAATTAACCAAATTCGATAAGATAATAAGATAATAATTTTTTTGAAATCCCTATGTAAAAATATAGTCTCAGTAATATCATAAATTAATAATCATATAAATTTGCACATATATATATATATATATATAATAGTTTTAGAGTTTTTCATAAAAATAGGTAAAAAATTTTGTAAGTTTTCAAATTTTGAATATGTATAATTTTTGTTTTAATAGCCGTATAAGTTTTTAAAATACAACAATGGATGTCACTATTTCTGAATTTTAATTTATGTATATCGTTTGTATATGTGAATTCTATAATCGTTGTTATTCATTGTTAAATTAATTATTTTTTCTTCGAAATATTAAGTGTTTAAGGCTAAAACTATAAAATTTATAACATCCAAAATATTAATTTTATTTAGATCACATTGCTTTAACTCGTATTTTTTATAAAAAAGTTTTCACAATTGAAACAAAACTTTCTATAAATTAATAAATATTAATTTACACTATGAATTAATAAAATATCATGGTCCCAATATTATTAATTTATAGAGGTTTTACTGTACATGTTTGTTTTTCAAAATTCAAATCACGACAAATGCAGAAAAAAATCTAAAAATTTATTTATTTTATGTATTATATGATGATATAAAGCAAGTCAAAAAATATATCAAACAAAAATGATAGGGGAATCATAATTTTAAATTTTAACAAAATCTTTTAAATATCTATACTATTAATATTTGTAATTAAATATGGACCTGGATCCAGATTGGACTGCGACAATTCAACGGTTAATCACACATCCTTTTGCGAGGTATGACTACATTCTTATCCGCTTGTGTTTCCAAGCTACCATATATTACATATGGCGTGAACGGAATGAGAGAAGACACAACAATATATATCGTACACACTCTCAACTAGCCCGTACTATTGAGAGAGTTATCCGTTCAAGAATAGTGTCGTTGCGATATTTTGAGAATACGAAGCTCCGAGGTTTGATCCAAAGGTGGTTTAGCTCGAGACAAAACCAATAGTAGCTTTGTGATTTGTTCTTGATTCCAATGCTCTGCTCTCTTTTGCTTCATTTGTTCATCCCTTGTAAATAACTCTATTTTTACATCAACTAATTTCACATTTCATCATCAAAAAAAAATATATATATATTTGTGTTTGGTTATATGGATAGTAGAGAATTAGTTGTAAAAGTTGTTTGGATACATGTATTTAAGTATTTTGTTTTCCTAAATTAGCCTTAATGAGTTTCTTAATTTTTTCTTTAAAACAATAGCATTATATGTACTTCAAAAATGTATATATAGATAACACATATATGGGCAAAGATAAATAATTTGGTGTACATATATGATTTTTTGCATAATTGTTAATACATATACATTTCTTTTTTTTTTGATAAGCCAACATATACATTTCTTATACAAAGTTATTGACAAAAAAAACATGTTGAATTTTTAAAACCTCTAACGAACCATAAATTTTGATTTTGATTTGTCAATAAGAAAACACAGTTTTGGAGGAAACTACAAAAACAAAAAACAAAAAAAAACGAGTTAATTATTTGAACCAGATAATCATTCAAATTAGCAATTATATTAGATTACATGTTTGGTTAAGAACCATACCTACAATAAAATTAAAACCATAATAATGACAAGTTTGAGATCTTCTCTGATACGTACAGTTAGAAGATCTAAAGTTGAACAGGAACAAGATTCACACTCAATCGAAGAATATGAAGATCAGCTCCAGAGAGAAGAGATTTGGAAATTTGATTACTTAAACGTAAACGAAGCTGTAGAAAGAGATGCTTATATAAAATTATCATCTATCCGGTACAAACTGCTTTTCTCTAAATCAAATTCTTATGTGTAAACCACACTGTCTAATACTAACCATTGATCTTATGTTAACATAACAATAAAACACACCGAGCACAGTGTCAGTTATCCTCATGAAGCTTATACACACGACAGCGACCAAATGTAAATTAAGGACTGCATTGACAAGTAATCACTAGAAAGTAACATAAATACATAATTCACCTCACAAATGCTTTGAAGGGAAGATGGTTGCTCTACTACACCCTTTCTCTTGGGGATAAACTGTTCTAAGAAAGCATATTGAGAAAGCTTTTGTCCAATCTCCCATCATGCAACATATTAGTGATCAAGCCAAAAGTTGAAGCATTTCCAGCAAACCCGCAATTCCTCATTTCTTTGATGAATTCAGCTGATGCGGTTTTGTCACCATCTCTAAGATGTGCCCTAATAAGCGTGTTATAGGTACGGTCATCTGGCAAAGGCCCATCTTCTTTCATTTTCATGAACAAGGCATCTGCTTCTTGCAGTAGGTTTTTGCTACAGAAGCCTGAGATCATTGTAGTGTAGGTTACAATATTAGGCTTCACTCCTTTAAGGCTCAGACTACAAAATAGATCCCACCCATCTTCCACCTTCCCAGCCTTGCACATCCCTTCAATCATAATACTATATGTATACATATCAAGTTCCATTTCACTCTTTTGCATATACTCGAATACCACCAATGCTTTCTCTAGCTTCCCATTATTACAGAGTCCATCTAACAGTACATTATTTTTTCGTTTTTATAGAATACATACCAAATAATCATGTGATGTAGTATCTTTTATTTTTAAAAAAATATTATGGCAAAATTAATGGTTCAGTTTTATCTATATTTAAACTGAATTCTTTGTAATATATATTTACAATGTAAAAGTATATTGTATTCTTCACACAAGCAATGTATATGTCTAAATGTGTCTGCTTTTGCATGAAAGGAGAACACTTGGATCAAAATTAACACACTCACACACAAAATAATTTTTCTTCTGTTCAATGGTTGATCACACCCATCATAACAAAAACATAAGGCATATTTTTCTGTTCTGTTTTAGTTCACTTAAGCATCTAAACATACGATTGTTTTCAATCGTCCTCAACTCTACCAAGTTCTATGAATATATATGAGTCATTAGTGTTTTCGTCTCTGAAAGGAACATGAGAGTTACCATTTCATCATCTTCACCGCTGCCATTGTCGTTGTTTGCTTGCACCTCCTCCTCTATTTCTTCCTCTTCACACTGGACATGACTACCTGCGACCTAACATTGAGAATTTGAAAGATGTGTGAAAACTATTCATATTGAAAGGTGAAAAAATCTTCTTTTCTTTATGACTTAAGATTTTCAGAAATGTGGAAAACAAATTTTTAGAATAGACACGAAAGTATACTACTCTATTTATCCTTATTTTGTATATAAGGAATTGTTTATTTAAATGAAATTAAGGGTACAAAGTCATTGTCTTATCATAAGAGGTATTAAAACAATATCAACGCCTACTACCCTTAATTTCATTTTATTAAGACTATGATTCTAAAGTTTATAAGGTTTTCTCTAATATAAGGTTTTCCCTCTATTTGCTAACTTTGGATGTCTCTATTATATCTCCAACCCACCTCTATAATTTGTTTCTAAACTCTATTTTAGATGCAAATCTATTCCAACCCACCTCTATTCTTACTTCTAAAATAGAGATTTTTACTTTTTGCTCTTTATATGGAGGATCTCTATTTTTTCTTGTATAAATAAAGTTAAGACTTTTTCAGAGAAAAAAATAGAGGAACACATTGGAGTAAAAATAGAGGATACTCAACTCTATTACAGAGATATAGGTAAAAAATAGAGAAATATATTGGAGATGGTCTTACCCCCTTTTTTTTGTTGCGTAACGAATATGTAGAAGTAATCTTAATCTGACTTTGCAATTATCATAAGAGGTGTTAAAACATTTAAAACGAATCTATATGTGTCCACATAATTTCTTTCAACTTTATAAACCAAAAGTTGGGATACAACAATTTAGATTGTTATGTGTTCTTTTTTTATGTTAACTTCGATGAGAAGGATATAGAATTAAAAAGTTTGGACGACTTGTTCTTTTGGTTATAAGATAACAACAACTTCGTAACATTTAGTCTATATATCTTTGATAGTGAAAGACATCCAAATACATAACTTTACTAAAATATTAAAAAGAAATCTATAATTATGAATGTTACATAATTAATATCAATGTGCTTGGTTCAATATTACAGGGAATGCTAAACAATTTAAAAGTCAGAAAATCTAAACTTATTATTTACACTCCTTGCCTAAAAATCCCTAGGTTACCTGAGCTGGGAGTTGATAGACGTTACCTAAGTTGGGTAAGCGATATATTTCAGGGCTTTAATACCAGTGGCCAGGCCACACATATTAATTCATAGTAAGTTGATCAGGCTCCATGGTGGTTCCTCTCTTAGACCAGAGAATAATCACTGCTCTCAATTAAGTTGCCAAAAAAAATATATTTCATCAACTTGATCTCTTCGTATCCATCCAATCAACGACAACAAAGACTATTTGGATTGCTTACTACACCAGACCAAGTAGACTACATTCTAAGCCAAGTTCATGAATGTAAAATGTTTAAAACGTTGGCCTTTATGTAGCTAATGGACACAAAGTTTAGCTAGGTAGAAAGGGAGTAAAAACTGGAAACTCTTGCATGGAACATATGAAACAATAACGGTAAGGCAACATACTTCGTATCGTAAAGGATCCTGTGATTCTAATTTTTAAAATAGAATCTTATCTAGACTGTGCAATCCAAAATGCGGTCTCCCGAGTAGAGATGTGTTCACCCTATGCATACCTCCATAGAAAAAAGAAACAGATGGGTAAAGGCGTAAGATTAATGAAAATTGAGCAGAAGTCAAGGGAAGTGCAAAGAAAAGAAGAAGAAATAAATAAGATATGGACCGCCAATCTTTTAAAGATAATCTCCTCACCATGAGATCAGTCTCTAATTTACCACTGTTATTGTTCTGGTTTCTTGACTGTTGAATCTCCGATACCCTGGAAAAAAAAAACAAAACTAAATAAGACTGTAATAAGTTTTTCAATATGGGAATGAGTGGAAGGATTGACAGGACTACACAAATGTATCATTGATCTACTTAGCCTTTTGACGTGTTTTGTTCTCGAAAGGAACACCCACATGCATCTTCTTCGTCGGAGTAGGAGCAGGAATGCTCTAATTCTTTTACGGTGATAATATATACATCGTAACTAGGATCGGACCCGCGGTCCACCGCGGGAGAATATTGGTTTACATATGTTGCGTTTAATGTTGTGTGTTTTTTAGTAGAACGAATCGTGTAGTATACTTATAAATATTCATAATAACGAATTGTAGAGAAAATGTAAAATTGTTTATAAATATACCCATCGTAATAATTATGATTTACAAAATAGAATTTTGTGTTTTAAAATTCTAAAATTAGACGATTCATGTGAATTAGAGCAGTCAAAATAGGTCAAAAACCGCGGGTCCAGCAAACATCATCTCACTATGGGGCAGATTTGGGAAAATATATTAAACCCGCAAATAAGCGGGCCACATGGATTAATTCGCAGTGGGTCATAGGTATAATCGGTTTTCATCCGCGGGTTGGCGGATCAGCCCGCATATTAGTATTTATTGATAAAATTATAATTTATTCAATATGTGGTAATTTAAACAAACTTTTAATAGTATTTTGATTTATTTATTTATTTTAGTAATATTTTAAATTTTGGTTACTTTAAAATTATTTAAACAAAATCTATGGACAATCCCGCAAATCCGCATATATTCGCGGGACGTGTTTGTATTTCATATATGCTACCCGCGGGTCGTGCGGACCGACTAACTACAAGTCAAAATATTTTTTGTCTATCGCAAAACGGACTTAACGGGACGAATCAACTCGCTTTGACAGTTCTAATAGGAATATTATTTAGTCATACAACAAAATGAAGTTTGGACATAGTAATAATAGAATATGTATCTTATTTGTTAGATGAGAGATTGAAAGATGAAGTATAATGATTAAAAATTAATTATTATTTTTCATGATTCACAAAATTTAATAAATACTTATCATCTTGTTGAATAATTCTAAAATCATATTCAATAAATCTTTATAAATTGAAAATTAAACTTCTTTGGTAAGCTATAGGTATGAAAATATCATAATTTCGATTTAATCTAATTAAATTAAAATTAGTTACATGGATTTCATATCTATTTAATTTACACGACCAAAATAAAAATATCTATTTAATTTACACGACCAAAATAAAAATATCAATTTAATTTATAAAACAGATGGGTTATTTGTGATAAATTTTCTAGAAATCTTTAAAAGCAAGTAAAATATCTTTCAATTAATGATAATTGGGTAAAATGAGCGAAATTAATGACAAAAACGTTGATTGTTATGGAATTAGTCCCAAAAATATATGAACAAATTTATTATACGTAATTAATGTTTAATATTGTTTGAAATATGCTTTTATTATTAGTTACCATAAGTACAATAAGATTTTATTTGATTTCCATAAATATTTGATTTTATTTCGATTTTTCATTATTAATTCGAATTTATATTCCAAAAAATTTTCAAAGATCCGATTTCAGAATTTCAGGTCAATTTTCTGATTTTAACCCGACCCATTTTCATTTGTACTTCTCTTTTAATAGTATAGAGATGACAGTGATAATAGGAAACTCCCCAAGTGGATCAATTTGAATAAGAATCTTCTTCAAAAGTTTTTTTGGTCAGTGTCTTCGCAGGGACGGAGGTATGTAGAGCTGTCATGGTTTCTTTTCTGAGTGGCGTTACAAAAAATTTGATGGTGATGGTTGCACTACGGACGCAGATTTTATAGGGTGGGAAGAGATGATATCAATGAGACTGAAGTGGCCATTTAAAGTAAGTGGTAACGACTTTAATTTCAGACAACGGGAAGACGGAGCGGTTTGAGTTTGGCGTTCATCAATGGCGATGTAGGTTTAGACGTGGAAGAAGAAGAGTTAGTGGTGTCTTGTTTGGGATTTTTTTTTTTCGGTTTTAGTTTTAATGGGCTAAAGTTTGAGAGTTTTCTGTAAAGCCAATTAAGAGTATATGGATCGTAATTAATTTATTTTAAGCGTGTTCTAAGGAAATGTTGGAGTGAGACTATTTGTGAATTTGATGCTGACGTGGCTTTCTCTAAGCTGTGTTTTAGTTTACTGATGTGGATAGGTTGAGAAGCTTCAATTAGTCCCTTTTATTAATAAGAAATGGTAAGAGGGGAAAAAAAAAGTAAACAAAAAATTAATATAAATTTGGAAAACCTAACTTAACTTTTTATGAGATTTTATTTTATCATATTTCATCAATTGGGTCTAAAACCACCCTTTTAATTGGGCCTAAACCATTAACCAGCCCATTTTACCTTATTTTTCTCTGAAATAACAAAAATACCTTAACCTAGAATCTAATCTTCTTCTTCCCGCAGCTTCTCCATTCCTCTCTCTTGATCTCATGTGATCTTCTTCTTCTCCATTTCTCTTCCTTTTCGATCTCACTTGTTCTTCTTCTTCTCCATTTATTCCTTTTCGATATCTCTCTCTTTGTTCGCAAGTCCTCTTCTTCATAGATCTAGGTGAGAAAGATCTTCACAAAATCGTTCCATCGTCCATCAAAGATATTCACAAAGGTAGATGTTCACAAAATTGATTGATTCGTGTCTGTTTTTGTGTGTTTAGTAATGGGTTATACCCTAATTTCTAAAATTTCTCTGATTTCTCTTTGCCCAGAAATTCTATTGTCATCACCAAATCAAGCTTCTTCTTCTCTTAGCAAAGACCATCCGGCGAAGTTGTCTTCTTCTTCTTTTTTCCGGTAAGTTTCATGTTATTAGTTGAAGCAGAGCTTTCGATTAAAGTTACTTTATGAGTTTGCTTAAGATCTCTCTCAATCAATTGGGTCTAGAATCTATCTAATTGCTTCAAGCTTTAAAGATATAAAGCATATATAGATAATTTGAATTTATTCATGTATTGAAGTAGTTGTATTTTTGACTTTGTTTGGTGTTGGGTGGATATGCGTTTGGAGTTGCAATAAGCTTCTCACTTATTTTTTCAACTTTGATAGATTCTTGCTCCTTTTGTTTCTCTATTTTTTTTTCTTTTGGCTTCTGCAATCTTCTCAATTTCAGCTATTTTTTTCTTGAATTTTTTTGAGTATTCAGTTTTCTCCACTTCTAAACTCTCCTGATAAAAAAAATAAAAATAAACAGAAATAATTTTTAAATCGTAGTAAAACTAGATAACATAGACATATATACATTCATAGAAGAGACCCCTGTTTGAAAAATCGCTAGGCGCTAGTCGGGCGCTCGGTATGGGCCTACCGATTAATCGGAAAATCGGATTAAAATCGGGGATTAATCGGGGACTAGTTTTAGGTTTATTTTAATATTTTTAAAACATATTAATCTAATATTTATTTCAAAATTGCAGTAAACACATAATAATGTATTTTTGAGACATATTTTTATAATTTTTATTAAAATTTTATAATTTTTATTAAAATTTGAACATAAATTATTATAAAACATCACAAAGTCCTAATTCTAATGATTGAATAACAAAAATAAAAAGTTTTTTTATACTTGTAATCTAAAAATAATCGGGATATGTAAAATTATACACCGAACTTCCTGCGACGATACAGTTGGCCCCAGCTGCAGCCGCTGCATCGATTGTGGAAGGGCCTAAGCCGCCGTCCACCTGACCCAGGAGATAGAACTCAGTTTAAGGAAAGATCAAACACTGTCTGAACAGTAGGATTAAGATGCCTTACCTCAATATCAAGTGTTGGGTACTTGTTCCTCAATGCCCGGACCTATATCAAGAATATCAAAAACTGAGGTTACAAGGGGATTTCAATAAGCAGATGGGATTTCGATTTCCAGAGTTGGAAACATAACCTTGTCCATCATGTTGGGCATGAACTTCTGGCCACCAAATCTAGGCTCCACAATCATCACAAGAACCATTTCAACCGGATTTGTACCTTCAATACCAGAGGATAGACTTGTTCAACAGGTGTTCCAGGCTTTAGAGCCACACCTGGCCTCATCCCAACAGACTTAATATTTTCCACAAGTTCTTGCCAATTCTCTGAAAATAAGCAAAACACAAGTCAAGACCGAGCATTAGGATGAGACAAAATTGGAGGATGGTGTAGGGGAAAGAGCTATCTATATATACCTTTGGCCACCTCAACGTGCAATGTGAAACCAGACGCCCCAGCTTTAGCCATTTGATCCACGTAATCCATGGGGTTCGTAACCATTAAGTGGCAATCAAGATATGCACTGTGATAAAAGGAATGATAAAAGTTTTCAAGGACATGAACATGTCAGATATATTAATCAAAGGGATGTAGTGCATTACTTAAAGTTCTTAAAACGAAGAAACCAAGGTTGTGAAGTTGCAATTGAGACCATATCAAGACCAGAGGATTAGATATCGCACATGGCTGAAGCAAATTTCTCGTATAACTCTTGCCTTTAACATTTGTTCCCTTAGAACAGCATTGCAAGGTTTCTACAGAAGTTTTTAACAATAATATTAAAAAAAAAAAAAAAAAAAAATAGATGAGAGAGATGAGAATCTATTTTTTAATGAAATTTTTGAGAACTCATTAAGAGACTGTTTTTACACATGTCAACATCTGCTTGGCTTTTTAAAAAATTATAATTTAAATTTTAAATAAACAATTACATTAAATTATATATTTGAAAATGATATAAATGAGAGACTTTGAGAGTCGGTGTCATGCAATGCATACTCAATTCTTTTTCATCGAAGAGAATAAGGTCGTGCTTAGAGAATAATCAAAGAAAGTAAACTCGTATTTTACAATAAAATCGAATAGAATAAGGTTAAAGAAAAAGATTGTTACTGGTTTAATCTCTTTCGGCATTGTGTTTACGTATAACTAAAAAATGGATCGCACATCAAATAATATTGTCTTATGTCCATTTTATCAAACCTCATCCTCCGACCGTAAAAGCCAACGAACGCCCACTGAAACTTTAGCATCGACAGCTTCATACTGATCAACAAACTAGACCGCTATCGAACAATAAAACAGAGTAGTGTACATGTATTTAAACATTCAAGGCATGAGTTTTCCCACCGCTATTCAATCATATAGGAAAAATTTTGGGTGGCTTTGTAGTCAAGTTTAAAGACAGGATCACTGGAGATCTTGACTCATCCAATCATAGTCCGTTTTCTACCTCGTTGCCTCACTGCATAACCAAAAGAAGACTTTTTTAAGATTTGAAAACAGAGTTGGTTTTATGAGGGGACATGGAAGAGGGTTAATAGTACCTTGCGCGAGCTTGTTAAACGTGGCTGACCATTGCTTCGAGGACTTCCTATACGCTGTCAATATACGATCCATCTACATTTGAATACAAAATACACCATTTAAGATAGAAAGACCCATCAAAAGTAGTGAAGTTATAATATATGCATCACTCTTACCACATTCCCGCATGAAGAATGCATTGAGAGTAAGGCTCTTTCAAGCACATATAAATCAACAGCTTTGTCTTCAGGCAAGGTCGATGTGACACTCAAGCCAAAATCGATTAGTACCTGAGAATATATCCATTGTCATAAATCATAAGTAAACTAATCAAGTACAGAAGCTCTGCAGAATGCAGATACTTACCAGCTGATTTGTTCCACTTCTGACTAACATATTTGATGTAGTCAAATCACCGTGAGCCAGGCCACCATCATGGAGCTTAGCAATTGCAGCCCCAATCTGAGCAGCAACATCATCTAACCGTTCCTCAATAATCCCATTGGCCCCAAAGTCAAGGAAAATGTCTTTAACAGAGACGCCCTCAATGTACTCAAGTGTTAAAGAGTGAAGCAGAGTATCCACAGCATAGAGGATTGGAGTACAAACCCCGAGCTTTCTTGCCTTTGTCATACACCTAGCCTCCTATATACAACAATGTACGCACATACAAGATGAAACACTCGATTTTTCCATTTTTCTCTCTCAGATTCAAACAACGAAACAAGTAAAGGTGATGCGAAAATAAACCAACCGCATTCAAGCGTTTGAGTGTGAGTTTCGCATCCAAAATCGGGTGTCTATATTTCTTCGAGAATCGTTCTTTCACAATGGATCTTCTTCCGGTAAATGTAGACTCAAACACCCTCTATAGATAAAACTGAAAACACTTAGTCTTTCCACAAAAAGCAAAAAACATATACACTGATTCCTCCATATAAACTTAC